ACCCTAAAACCCTGAACCCTAAGCCTGTGGATCTTCAGCGGCCTGGCCTCTGGCATCTCTGCCCCGCAGTCCCTGACAAGCTGTGAGCTTGGCAGACAATACTATATACTATGATATACTACAATATACTCTGATATACTATAATATACAATAATAGACTATAATGTGCCATAATATACAATCATATACAATCATATACAATAATATACTAGAATATACTATGATATACTATAATATAAGGTTAACTGCAGGCCAGACAGAAGTTCACGAAGCGCGCATGTGTCGCAGGCATGTGCAAGCGAAATGATGAAACGTGAGTCGCTGGAGGACCCTGTCCGTCATGATACTATCGGACTTGCACACTCTCTGTGGGACGGAGAACGGGTATGCTGCACTTTCACTCCAAGACGGTTTCCGGCGAGCTCACAACCCTGGCCAAGTGATGAAAGCAGCAAGTGCCACGGGACTGAATCATGTATTTGTGAGTACGACAATTGCACGGCGGCACCTCTGCACCTGGCGCATGCACAGGATTTACAACTGGATGGATAAATGGAGCATGCATGGCAAGCTACCTGAACATCTGTCGTCTCGGGACCAAATCTCTTGGCTTTCCACTTACAGATTACTCGCGCACACAGCGTGGAGCTCTTGCTGCTGGCAAGTGAGCAAACGAAAGACATGGCGTCTGCAGTTGCCTGCGCGCCGAAATGCACCTGGCCAAAAACATGCCGCAATTTCATGTTGAGCAACATCTCAACAATACGCGAAACAGAGCTTACGTCCAGGGTATTTATAGATCAGACTCGACCAGCACGAGCATGATCCTGCTTGTGCTTCGTGCCCTGGCTGTTGTAGGAGCTATTTGGGTAATGATGGTGCAGTGGTGGGTGGCGATGGTGGTGGTGGGAGTGGCGGTTGCGACGGCGGTTGCGATGACGGTGGTGGTGCTGCTGCTGCTAACGGTGCTAGTGGTACCGGTGGTGCTGACGATGCTGCTCGTGATGGTGATGGCGATGGTGCTGGTGGCGATGAGCCCGGCGATGCGCAGAGCGGTGCTGGATATCGGTGCAGAAATTTTGGGCACCTCCACATACTCAACTCCGCAAACTCGATTTCATGCGTCTTGCTCAGGACCATCTGTATTTGAAGCAGTTGAGGGCAGGGCCGCACAGAGGCTGGAGCAGTCTCCAACATCCAGGGACACTGCGGGGCCCTGGGTGTTGAGCACCGGGGGTTCATGACAGATTCTTGAAATATCCTGTTCCAGATCTCACCAAACTGTAAACGATGCTTCTCTGTTTATTCGGTTCCGGCTTGACGCGCAGACATCACTTTTCGTCCTTGGTCTCACTGCCGACATAACTCAAAGTGCACCGCCGCGGCCATCACATACCCTAGCTAGATTACAAGGTTGGTGCGGGAAAGTGCCTCTGACATCAGCAAAACTGGCACAACCTTGGTAAATCCGAACACTGGCACGGGCGTGTACGCCTACCCCACGTCCCTCTGCAAAGGCTCGAGCCTTCAGGCCAAGAACGAAGGAAATCCGCCCTGCCAGGATCGAAGACGCCGCCCCCGTCGCCGTGAAGCCTTTCTTGGCTCCATGGTGGACTTGCTCATCTCTAAACACACCATTTGGGGGTTTCTGAAAATAGGGGACCCAAATATAGTACCCTAAATAGTAGGATCCTTAATATAAAGACGCCAAAATAAGGTACCCCTAATTTTCGGAAACACACCATTTCGACCGATCACGGAAGCGGCCAACAGCTCCGGCCTGTTGCTTTCGTCGAGGCGCCAGAGAGCTCGGACCACCTGGGAGGGACCAGCCACGAAGAGTTCTTTGCAGGTTTCATAGATAATTTCTATATTTTTATATTTTTTATATTTTTATCTTTGCAGGTTTCGGCTTCAGGACTCTACGTCGCATCGTCGTACGTCATTGCATCGCCAAGCGTAGAGGGCCACGTGCCACTCCCACCGGGTTGCCCGACTCGCTTGAGTTCTCAGCGCCAACATAGACCTCTGGCGGGAAAAGCGACGTTGTCTCATACTAGCATCTGCATCTCTGGACAGCTTGACTCTAGGAGGCGTTCGTGCTAGCCTCGTGCTGCTCCTTGACCCGAGCCACCCATCACTTTACCCGCTGGACTTGGCCCGAAGACATACGACAAAACACATGCCTCACTCTTCATTCAGCCTGGGAACGGCTGCCGTGAGGCCTTGGAGTTGGACCCGCCTCGCAGGCCAAATCAATCCAAGTCGGTTCAAGCTTTTGTTGTGGTTCCTCCGTGGCTGGTGTTTAGGTTTGTTGGCCTGTCTTCTTTAACTCCACCCTGCTGGCTGCACTCAAGATCAAAACCTGCAGTGAGGTTATTCGAGGCCTCAGGCCATAGCCTTCAGTAAGGTGGCACCGAGGCTGCGACGCGGAGATGCGAGAAACCCACCATTACCGACATCCGCCATGCGTTGCATCGAACATTCGAAACCACATGCCTGAAGCCGGCGTGGTAGATGGCTTCATAGCCAGTCTCCAAGGCCTTGTCTTCGTGAAACCAGTTCCGTGAAGATCCCTTTGGACCCAAATCGCATAGCAGACACATGAGCCCTCTTATTGCTATCTTTCATGGCACTTGGGAAGCCCATCGGAACTTGAGGCTGGGACGTGGCGCTGACGAGGCTCCATGTGCTGAACCTGCACAGGGATATTGCATACGCCCGTGTCAGAGTTGAACAGAAAGGAGCACTGATTCGCTTGCACATGGTTCCATTTGCAGCCGCAATCTTCCCACGACGCTTGCCTCATTCCGCGACAGATGGAAGCGCTGGAAGTCGAACAGCTCGACCCCGTCAATGAAAGCTGCATGCCTCCGATGTAACGAGTTGGTTCGGCATGCCAGCCCCTTCCTCAAAGAGGTAACTCGTCATGGCTTTATGGGAGTTTGGACCGCAGACTGACTTCACCTAGTCGGCACGGTCCTGCAAGATGTACGGCCGAAGCGCCAGCACCCCTCCGCCGAGTCATAACTCTCCGAATGGTCCCAGCCTCATTACAGGAAGGAGCAGGTCACGGCATGTGTGCTTTCGCATCCAGGTTTGCTACGCAGAGCAACGAGCTCTGTGAATTGCACACGACCTTTCTGCTCGGGGACCGGCGCTGCAGCGGAACCTCTGCAAAACACACCGAGCAGGAAGAGGAGAATGGGACAGAATAAGCATACGGAAACACGATGGTCCCTGTCGTATCATGAGTAGCACATGCACCCCCTATCTCAACATGCATCCCCCCAAACCGGTAAGGGTGTCGTTGGCTTGCAAGATTAAAGCAGGGATTGGATTCAAAGTTGAAGGTGCAGCAGGTGCCATGCCTCGAAAAGCGAGAAAAGGCACGCTTCCCCCACCCCAAACGATTCAGCATCAGCAGGAATTGCTAAGCCCTTATGGAGCTTAGCTGGGCTTCTTGGGGCTCCTTAAACCCTTCAAACCCTTGGGAACCTTACGAGTCTTTGCAAGGCCTTCTAGTGGCAGGCTTGGTTTTGACCCTGTAATAAGCAACGATAAGGCCTATCGCGGCTTCTTATGCCCTAATAAATTGCACTGTTCATTTAATTGGGGGCCGGAGCCCGGTTCCCCGCAGCCCGAAGCCGGAAGCCTCGGTAATGACGTCTGGGCCGCAAGACTGCGCGCATTGCCAGGCCTCTGCCTCCCGAAGACCAGGGGGAGGGTTTTAGGGTTTTAGGGTTTTAGGGTTTAGGGTTTCGGGTTTTAGGGTTTAGGGTTTAGGGTTTAGGGTTTAGGGTTTAGGGTTTAGGGTAGGGAAGAGGAAGAAAGATTCAAGCCGCCCGCCCCCACCCACCGCGACTCATGGAAGGAGCTCTTTTCGGCTTCAGCTGGACTGCGGGTCTGGGCTCTAGCAATTTCAGGGAGTTACGGCTTGATCCGGTTGATCTGTACATAGCGATATGATGGAATTCGACCATTTCTCAGTATCGCTATGGTATTTGTAAGAGCTTGGACGTAGCCGGGTACCTCCAAGTACGGCGCTGTGAGACTGAGTTTGAGGCTCTTCACTGACGGCCGTTGGCTAACGGAAAGCGAACGATAGACTGCAAGGAATATCCTGGAATCATGCAATAAAACTAACAACACAGAGCTGCCAAGCCGTGCCGGCATTTAGAAATAGCTCCGCGGTAGCATATGACTTCACTGTTTGGGGATGGCGATGAGGACTTTGGTCCGTTCAAATGCAGTAAATCCAACGAATCATACCCTGTAAGCCATCCGATTATATGTCTTTCTGGACGGACTGTCTCTAAATCATTTCAGAAATCATCACGCTTTGAAGGTGCGCTGGAGCTACACACAATTCCGCATCAAAACCTGAGAACGGCATCCTGCTCTGGTGGCTAGGTGCCGCACCAAGTTAGCGGCTTCAACTGAGCAGTGAGCCTCGGGTCCTATGCGTACACCACTCCCACTTCTCACGTACAAACAACCCGTGGCATCTTCTCTGAGATTCCACAGCAGTTCATCTACCGGTTTGCGACTTCTGTCCCGCATGCGTACAAAAACTCAGAGACTCTCTCACACATACAGAGACACACACACACAGAGAGACAGACGAACAGATAGACACACATGCACGTTCAAGGAATGTGCAAGAATTAGGTGCAGCATGGGCATACTCGGGGGCCGATTCCACCGGAGCCGCGAGCTTTCACAACGCTGCCCACGCCATTACGCATGCAAGACGCGCCGAATGCTCCAGTTCACTGCCGACATCTTGCACAATTCCAGGCGCTTAGGAACGCCAACTACACGATGAAGGCTTCGTGCATCAGGTCAGAGCTGCAGGGAGTATCTGGGCACCGCCTGGATGATAGGCCTCTACCAGGTCACACTGCAATGAGCTGCCGTGAGGGCTTCGGGAAGCTTCAGGCTACGGCGACTTTAGGGAGTGAAGTGGTCATCATAGGTGCTTCAAAGCCTTGTGCAGTTCAAGATGCTACGAAGACACGAGCTAGGAGGCAAGCGTGGGAAAGCCATCTTCAGCCGAGTACAAACCCTGCAGAAATCATCTGAGCATGGAGGACAGGCCACCGCAAGTTCTGATGGTCGATGGGAAAGAGAGGAGACTGATGATACTATATTGGGGGCGCCCAACCTTCTCGCCCTCTGCGTGAAAGACGCACATCGAAGCCATCAATCTCAGAGTTGAACCCCCCCCTGCTTTCAGATCAAGTCAGGAACTCTACACAAGACTCGCCACCCTACAGCCCCCAATCCGGTAAATCTGACACGAGAAAGCCCCAGCATCCACCCTGAATTTCTCCAACTACGGGCCTGGAAGGAGATGCCTTTGGAAGAGGCTTTGACCTGCTGGAGAGCCTGTATGCGTGTCGTCATTTTCCCCGGCTTGGGGTTCGCAATGTGGCGCATCTTGAGCTGGGTGTTCTATGCCGCTCTGCATTTCGAAAAAAATGGATTGACTTCATTTTTTCTTAGAATCGGTGCTTGCCGTCACAAATCCTCGAAAGACGCTCGATGGCACTACGCACGTCTGGGCTGACGATGTTGACTACTCAGGGCGTTTCTCGAACGAATGTGCTCCTGCACCGCAGGGGTGTTCGACCGGATCCTTCGCAGAAGCCTTGAGATATGATGGCGCTATGCAGCGTGGAGGTTCTCGATGCTTCGGGTACAGCGCAGACGGGTTGGAGAGCACATCATGAGGGTCGCAGGCAGTCATTTCTGCTGCGGAGAACGTTGTGGACTTTCAGGCAAAAGTGCGATGCTGGTGTACGTATGGGAGCATGCAGCATGGGGAAACACGATTCGAACACCAAGTGCCTCGTCCGAAAGTCAATCTGCTTCAGCACGGGCACTATCTCAAACGCCTTGGCCTCAAGACAGCAGCGGCGCAATTCCCTCACAAGCAGTTTGCAGTTGCAGTGCACATATCCATCAGCATTCCATCAGCCATCTGCCCTTCCTTCCCATGCCCTCCACTAAACGAAGTGAACAGACAAGGTCTCCCTTCCGTGAGTCCCCTTCGCATGCGCACAACCCCAAGTCCGGGGCCCGCGTTCAGCATGTGGTTATACCGTATATACCGTGATCTTACCCCGACCTCGCCTTGAAACCTCACCTCGGCGCCTGAGCCTCTGCAAACCCTGACATCCTGAAATTGGACCTCTACAGGCTGCAGAAACCCTCACACCCGGACTTGCGGAAAAGCCTCCTTGATTGCAAAGTCTCTCTCTCTCGCTCTCCGGCTTTCGTTCTTTCGCCAGGGCGGTGGTGGGGAGTTGCCTCTGGCTTTCTGTCTCTCTCTCCCTCTCTCTGCACTTCTTTTCTCGGAACCCCGGTGCAGAGCTCCCGCCTGGGGATTGGGCTTGTAGTTGCACATGGTCAGGGCCTGCACGACCCCGGTGACGTCATCCAGCACTCCCGCAACCTCGCTTGATGAAAAGTCTCCGGCGATGTGCTTGGCACTCAAGCGTTCCAGTCCACTGGTTGGCATCACATTCTCTCAATAATCAGGCCAGCTCGGGTGTGCTGCCATGCAACTTTCTCGATCGTGCGATATTTGATTGGCAGGCGCTCTCCCAGCAGGCAAAACAGCGCACAATCGCCTCAGACAGGTGCGGGCCAAACAGTCAAGGCAGATCAACGATCTGCAATGCAGAAGCCGACTTGTCGAGACCAGGATTGTCGAATCGGACTCTCTCCAACCATTCAGAAAACCCTGTCAAAGAGTGATGAAGTTACAGAAGCAGAACCCGAGACGAACAGAGCAATACTTCAATCAGGAATCCGTAGTTTCAGGAAACCCCACCTTTCAAGCACCTGCTTTCTCCGCACGGGGTGTCGCTTCGTCGCAGCAGGGAAACTGGGTTTCTGTGCCACAAGCTTAGAGACAGCGATGTGCGGACGGAGGTCCACGGCCCAGACAGACGGAAAAGGCGCGAAAACAGTCGCCACTCAATGTGCGAGTCAGGTAGCTGAACGTATTGCAGTTTTTCTTCAGAACGTCATAGCTCCCTTCCTTGAAAAACGGCAACAAGATGCGAACCATGGTGGGTCCTGCCATCTGGTCTCCGACATAATTGACAAGCAACAGTGGTCGTTCCGTGACTGCTGCAGCACAAGCACAGCTCAGTCAAACTTACTTATAGCTAGGACCCAGCTCAGACATGACCCGGACTCGTCCTGATATCGTCGACACGCCCCGGAAGTACGCCACTCCATCGTTGCCTGATCAGACTGTTCGTCCACATGCCATGTCGGAGAGAAGGCTCAGCATTGCGACACTGACACAGCACGAAGGGTGGGGTGTCGGGACATGGCCTGCGGGGTCGAGCTGTCCCTTCAGGACGTTCCTCATAATACCGCTTGGCGTAAACGTGTACCTGCAGCTACGGAGCTTCAAGCAACCAACACCAAACCAACGCATCAACTGCGGCAGCCAGGACACTCCGCATTGTCCACCACGACGGCGGTGTGGTATGCATCCTCACGGTAGTAGATTCACGATGCTGAAAAGAGTCCGGGTTCCATCCCGCTACTGGGTCACTTCATCCGCAACTGGTCCTTCATCCAGCATCCATCAGGCGCTCCAAAGAACGAGGACACCTCGGGAGAGCAGTGCGCAACATCCCGGTCCTTGCAAGACGTCTGAACCCGGAGTTCATTCTGACCTTCCATGTCGCGGTCTTTTACCTTGGATGGGTCTCTTTCCTGCTGCATGCACAGAAGCTTGCCAGGCTTTGGGGATTTTGGAAGGCTGTTTGGCCTCATCTCCTCGTGCGCTGCTTGGTGAGAACTATGGCAGCGGGTTGGACTTTGTTGACCCCTTGCATTTTTCGGAATGGGTTCCGGTTTTAAGCGTTCGGGGCCCAGTGTTGCAGTGCCGCTGCCACGAAGAGTTCGCCAACATCCGCATGTTCCACAAGAGTTGCCGCCCAATGCTGACAGCAAAGAGGCAACAAAAGTAGCAGGAAGCGTCATCAGTCTTACACCAACTACCAGGCACTGGCATCAGGGCAATCGTGAAAACGGAACCTATGTACTCGCCAGAAAAGGGTAACGTCAAAGCTTGCTGTGGGCTTTATTGACATAAACAAGCAGCAAACATCTGTTGGACATTACCATTACAATCGTCGTTGCATGTAGCTGTGCTCGCCATCGTCACCAGAATGCACGCACGCATATGTTATTTGTACACGCAGTCATAAGATCCCGTATGTGCAGCTCACGATGGAACGGATCTGTAAATACATCAATATTCTCCCATCCGAACCATCTCCCTTTCTCAACGTATTCCCTGGAACCCTAAAAGCGGCCGCCGTGGCACCGCCAAGACCACGCGATGGCCTTTGGCAGCGGCGCTAGGCTCCGACGCAGCAGCGCCCATGGTGAGGATGAGGTTGGCTCTGATAGTGGACTAGTACCATTTTGGTTGTGAGTCAAAGGCTTCTTAAACGTGATTCATAGACCGAGCAGCAGGCACAAGTTTGGTGTGCAGCTTTGGCCCAGGTATTAGGGTGAAGGAGAGAAGACTTGGGCAAGGTATTGGTACTGTCAGGTAAGCGCAGCCAACAGGTGTCCGAGTGGCAAACAGCAGCGGATTTCAGTTTCTGGCTGAACATGGATGCTCTTCCCGCACATGCATGGCATGCTCCGCTTTTTGAAAGGGAGCATCCCGCTTCTGCTCCGAAGTCTCTCAACCCGAAGCCTCCCAGCTTGACGACAGCCGGGCAGCGAGGCTGGCGACGGCAATGCGAAGACCCTGAGGCGCTCCAGGCGACTGCTCTCAAGGCTCTCTGGCTCTGAGACCTCATGACACGTGTACCCGGTGGCCACAACAGAGGGCAGACTCTGGCAACACTCAAAAACTAAAGCGAGATCGCCAGCAGCATGTCAGGCAGAACGGGCGACGCCTTGTGGCAGTAGTGGTCCTGTAGCAGCAGATCTCCGATGCTGGGCATTTCGCAAAAAAGGCTCGCAGACTGATTCTGGAACTACGGACGCTGCTGTTCCTTCGACCTGCTATGCGTTGTCTTTCCGTGAGGTTGCTGCTCAGCAGAAGCTGCGACGTTGCTCAACAAACATAAAGCGCAGTCATGAACCAGCCTGCAGCAGTTGGAAGGCTCCCTGCACAGTTCAGAAGAGTGGACGAATTGGAATCAACACTCACCCAGGTCCCACTCAGGTTGCAAAGACAACAAAGACTGGCTGTCACCAGGCCACCTGGACAACTGAGCCACTCGAATCCGAAGCCGCCCAAACACCTTTATCATACTATGGAGCAAGCCCTCATAAAGAGAGTCTTACCAGCCCCTTGGTCACGGTTTGCTTCTAGAAAGACAGGAACTCGTGAGAGCCACATCCAACAACAGGACGCACCAGAATCTCGAAGATTCAGAATCTAGAATGGAGTTCTGAATTCTTACATGCTGAAGCCCCTAAAACCCTGAAATCTCTCTTCCCCTTTTCCTAAACCTCCAAAAAAAATCCTAAACCCTAAACC